GGGGGGGAGGAAGGTATGGAGGACAACCATGGATGCCAGGGAAAAAGGGGGGGGAAGGTGGGACATAGCAGAGGGTGGGGGATGGGGAATCAGGGATGGCAAGACAAAGGGCAAGGTATGCAGGACGTAAGAATTGGAAAATTATTTGCTGAGAACATATATGTGGATGTACTTGATTGAGCCAATGCACAGTGTATTTTGGATGGAAAATTCATTTGTGTGTTGTGATGGTGTAAAGTGAATTAATAAATAAAAAAAAAAAAATGAGATGCCAAGAATACAGGCAACACTACTGAAATTAATGATAAGTTTGTTTTTCACTTAGTTGAAGCATTATTTAGGCTCTTACAATGTTAGACAGCCATAAGACCCTCCAAGGGGAATAGCCTGCATTCTGATGAATAAGAAGGCAAGAAGTGTTCACAGACGAGGACTCAGTCATCACAGCTGGGCTCCAGTGGTTTGAGGGCTCTGAATTCCCTCACCTGCAAAATGTTGGTGAGCTTCACTGTTAAGGGAGATACAGCCTGTATATCTTTTCAAATAGTATGAAACTAATAATCAATTATTAATTTTCTCATCTGTAGCTGGAATTAGGCACTGATATTTTTGAAGACATTGCCTGTCTGATGTATGACTGCCTGGATTGGAAAAGGCAGCACCAACACTATTTGGAAAGCATGCAGCTTATTAATGTCCCACAAGTGCTTACTGAGAAACCTGTCCTAGAAGCCACATTGATTTCTGAGGTAGGCACAAACTTGAATGTCTTTAGTGGACTGCATGGTTAACTGAACAATTTAATTTTCACATATAAGCATAAGGAGAAAAATTACATAAATACTTGTATCAAGGTTACACTGTGTACATTTCATATGTGAGGGTAGGAACAGGAAAAGGCCTACATTAAAGGGCAGATATATAATGGAGTCTTATGAAGCTCCTCGAATGCTCGACCTCCAAAGACAAGAATGGAACTCCCTAGTCGGTTCATGATGAAATGAATAACACCTAGAACAATAAAAGGATATCAATAAAGTAATCACAATGTTTATTTGGCAAGTAATATATGTCCATGTTATGGAAGATACTGGTGATGCAATAATGAAGACTGATTCCTATCTTCCTCACTGAAGTTAACTTTTCAAAGGGGACAGTAGTCAAGTCAACAGAGGTCTCAGCATACCATGATGAATGCTGAGAGCTGTCAACTCAGACCACAGTAGAAGCAATAAAAAAATAGCACCTCACTGATCTGGATGGTGGGGTGGGGTGAAGTGAGGGGAGTCCAGACAGTCTCACCAGTTATTGATGTGGGGAAGACTGAGCATGAATTGTCTAGTAGAAGGCCTGGTGCGAGAAAAGGACAGAATGGTAGAAAGGGCAAAGAAAGGGGCAAGAAAAGGGCAAAGTTGTACAAAGATATGGAAGTCAAGCTAGAGAAGTATTATGTTACTTGCCAAGACCATAGGGCAGTTTAATTTTTTTTTTTTTAAGAGAGATTTTTGCTATAGGGTGTGTGTGCTCACGGGAGAGACAGAGAGAGACAGAAAAAAAAAAGTGAGAAATCACCCCTCAGGGAAGATGGCCACCTGCAATCCCGTCTCCTTTCTTCATTCTCTTCTCAGGATTTTAGACATGCACACATACATTCCTAGTGTGAGTTTTAAGCTGCCGGGTCCAGGACTCAAACCACGGTCAACTATGTAAGAGTCCAATTGCATAACCATTATGCCATCTGCTGGTTCCCAGTTCAGTATTTCTAGGCTACGTGGGCAAAGTGGAGAACAGTAGGAACTTAAGTTGGAGAAATGGGACCCAGATGGTCATTGTCCTTTGGTGCTGAGTAAGAGTTTGGGTTTTATCCTGAAGGCAAGGGAGAACCACTGGAGGACTGTACCAGGCATGAGTCATATCCAGGGAAGAAGTATTTTTCTGTTCTTAGTATCTTGGCACCCAGTCATTTTCCCCACAGTTGTTCTGTGGGTTCTGTTAGGAAAAACTGACTAGCATCCATGCCCTTTAAACTCCTTCTCTTCCTTGGAAAAACCTCCTTTCCTCTATCCTAATATTTGCTGATGATTTTGTGGTGTGAACATAATTATCTAATCTGAGTCCTGTTCAATCTCATCCTACCAACATTTGATAAAAGCATGTCTTAACTGGGTATCTCAGTTGTCTCTTTCTAATTATTCTTTCTTTAGGCTCCACAGCCTATTGCTCCAACCTCTGGGAAGAAGAAAGCACAATGCGAAGAACCACAAGCTCCACCACCAGGCACGTATAAAAACTCTGTTTCCAGGGACCAGCAGTTAGCGTAATGGCTATGTCGCTGGACTCCCACGTAGTCGACCACGGTTCGAGTCCCGGACCCGGTGGCTAAAACTCACGCCGGGCGCGTGTGCGTGCGTGCCCAAGATCCCGAGAGGAGAATGGAGGAGAAGGGATTGGGGCGTGGCCATCCCCCCTGGGGGGTGATTTCCTGCTTTCTATCTCTCTGTCTCTGTCTGTCTGTCTGGCGAGCGCAC